TTCTGTACAAAATTATATTGGCAAACACTACATAAACGCCACGACTCTGCCTTTGGAATAAAAAAGGTTATAACGTCTTCGTGATAAATATATCGATGAATATAGGTACGACCATTAAGCAAATACAAAGAGGAAACGGCATAAGCAACTGTGCACTGTGATTCTAAGTAAGTCCTGACGTCATCATAGTGGGCGTGGTTTTAGTTAGTATACCGTCAACATTCATCCTGTGCGCTTATGTGTTCAAAAAAATCGCAAATCGGTGTATTTTCGTAGTATTAAGAAGAAAAGGATGAAGTGTTGTGTTTTATCGTGTAAAAACTACGCAGATAGTCGCTCTGATGTTATGGATGGCATCATATATCATTTGTAAATAATTTTACACCTAAAATATTAAAATAGTTCTAGAAAAATCTCTTTGCGTCGGCTTTCAAATATAATTAAATATATTCGACACTAGATGGTGACACTTTGTGTCATCTTGGTCATGTGAACTAAAAATATAAAGGTCCGTAGAGCTTAGTATTGGTAAAATAATCATATGAAGGTGCTGAAATTTGTTTTGCATTCAGAATAAAGAAATTTTAATCGCAAAATATTATTTTTATAGTTTATGATATTTTGTGGACAGGCCGCCATCTACCGTCAAGTTAGCTAAACTACATTGCAACATCGATATGGAACGATTCGAGTAGTTTTACTATTTATCGGTACATGTAGATTAGTGTAAAGTGGGCGGGGCTTTGCATCCCCTCACCCCGAAAATTGTCACGCGCATAGTGAAATTTAATTAAAACGTCACCTCTTTGTATTTGCTTCATGGGTACGACGCTCTAGCATTTAGCATCGTGGGCTCCCCTACTATAACCCCACCAACCAGAAAGGACAGAACAACTTTTGCCAATATAGTTTTATACAAAAGCTTATTACAACATTTATACAATATCGCTACCTACTGAAAATAATGAAACACTACATAAACACCAACCTCTATATAAGCAAAGATTCTAAGGACTTCCATGGGACAGGATGTTGATTTGAATGATTTACTAGCTCAGTTCCTAGGAGCATTAATTGTAAGTAATAACTTATAATCAATATATTATAATTATTTTAATTCAATGCGAGAGTTTTTGTTCCTTTTGTGAAAAATCTTTACCCTTCATTTGGGCCCCCCGACAAATTTTGATACAGGGCCCCTAGAAGGCACGCTACTCCACTGTTCCTGGACAGCTTTTAACTTTATTTATACATAGGTCAAGTCCAAACATGCATAGAGTATTGTAGTCACCTTTGGGATAGCTTAACAAAATATCAACTCGCTTTCAGTCATCTTTTATAATGCCCAAAGCCAAGGAGTGGAATGCCCTTCCGGCGTTGGTTTTTCCGAGTGCCTATAACCTGAATATGTTCAAGGTGCGTGTTAATAGGCTTTCCTGGGGAAACTCGCTCCATCGCAGATCTCATTTTTGTCCTCGGGCCAGATGAAGGTCAAGAGTGAGCCCATTTATGATTGAAAAAAGGAAAGGACACGAGTACCCTTAACAGGTAGGCGTAAAATAAAAATGTGTAAAGAGGGTGTGGGCGATGTAGGAGTAATCAAATAGACGATAAATTTTTTTGCTTTAAAACTCCCTTTTGTAAACGTGTGCATACCTAGTTTGCCATTAGGATAATCCGTCACTCATCAAGTGGGACAGTAGTCAAGCACTGGCTTATAAACTTATAATAGTAAAAGATCTCCTAAATTCCATCTATATATTTATCACGAAGACGTTTTAAATTTTTTTATTCCCAAGGTAGAGGTTGGTGTTTATGTAGTGTTTCATTATCTTTTCAATAGGTAGCGTCAATGTATAAGTGTTGTAATAAGCTTTTGTATAAAATTTGTAGTGTTATGCTACTTACATATCATTTTACATTATTTTAAATTCATTTTTCCATTCTGTTTCGATTTTCTGCATTCACCTCAAAACTGGATATTTTACATCACCTTTATTTCCATAGGATCCTGTAACGATTTTAAACCATAAGAACACAATAACAAATCATTTCTACTTCGTATTTTCACATTATCAGCACTTTTAAATTGGTGTCAATGGAGTCTACCTTTTTTCGATCTTTTAGCTAGTTTTCCGTAACTCTACAATCTCGGGCTTTGTGTGGGCAGCTGCGCTACCTTTTTTCCTATATCAATAATATCTCATTTTCCACTTAAATCTTACCGTTTTCTTATTATAAACCTAAAACCAAAATTTGACATGTTTTGACATTGCTATTTATTTCGTTTCCATAGTAATTATATTCAAATTTGCTACCGATCTGTTGTTCCTATTTCGATAATTCCACATAAATACTCTTTTCTCTTGACCATTTACAAAAAATTTGCGTTTAATTTAAATAATTTTTCCGTTCTCTCTAGAAAGGTATAAAAGCCGAACAATCGGTGAAGAAAAGCAGTCTCGCTTCAGTTCGCGAATTGGAAGTATCTCCTAAAGGCCTTATCCCGGGGCCGCACTGCCCCGGGATCCTGCAAGCCTCCACCTACACGTGAAGTCTTCGGCGAAGCCTTCTTCAAGCGCGGAGCCGCACCACTCCGGAATCCTACAAGCCTCCATCTACCTCGGAAGTCGTCGGCAGTCTACTTCAAGCGCGGGGGCCACACTACTCCGGGCGCTACGACTGCTTACTCCAGGCGCCGAGTGCACCTACCGCTGGCGCTACCTTTGGGCGCTGCAACTGCTGACTCTAAGCGTTGAGCGCACCTACTCCAGGCGCTACGTGCGCCGGCTCCGGACGCCGCGTGTGCTGGCTCCAGGCATTGCGTGCCGTCGCTGCTAAGAAACTTACCTCTACAAGCGCAACCGGCGTGTGCTGGCATCAGGCGCTGCGTGTCGTCGCTGCTAAGAAACCTACCTCTACAATCGCAACGTGTGTCGCTTCGACTTTTAGGCCCCACTACATCTCTATATTCCCCTATTCTCCTACCTTTATATTTTTTTTGTAATCTAATTGTACTCTCACTTCATTCATCATCATCCTCATTTCTTTTTTTTTATAAAATTGTAAATACCTTTTAAAAATTTAAATATATTGTTTTCTGGCTCTACTTTTGTTGTTTTGTTGTACTTAGGTTAGGTTCTATTTTTTTTTATTGTCGCTTCACGACAAATTATATTGGCAAAAGTTGTTCTGTCCTATATGGTTGGTGGGGTTATAGTAGGGGAGCCCAGGATGCTAAATGCTAGAGCGTCGTACCAAAGCGTCGTACCTATACTTCATCGATATATTTATCACGAAGACGTTATAAACTTTTTTATTCCAAAGGCAGAGCCGTGGCGTTTATGTAGTGTTTCATTATTTTTCAACAGGTGGCGGTATTATATAAATGTTGACATATTTCAACAGGGGACGGTATTATATAAATGTTGACATATTTCAACAGGGGGCGGTATTGTATAAATGTTGATTTATTTCAATAGGTGGCAGTATTGTATAAATGTTGAGTTAAGCTTCTGTAAAAAATTATATTGGCAAATGTTGTTCTGTCCTTTCCGATTGGTGGCGTTATGGCAGGGTAGCCTACGATGCTAAATGCTAGAGCGTCGCACCCATGAAGCAAATACAAAGAGGAGACGTTGTAATTCAATTTCACTATGAAACAACGCGTGACAATTTGCGGGGTGAGAGGATACAAAGCCCCGCCCACTACACTATCTACATCTACCGATAAATAGTAAAACTACTCGAATCTTTCCATATCAATGTTGCAATGTAGCTTAGCTACCTTGACGGTAGATGGCGGCATATCTACAAAATGTTATAAACTAAAAAATAATATTTTGGCGATTAAAATTTTTTTATGTCTGAATGCAAAACAAATTTTAGCACCTTCGTATGATTATTTTATCATTACTGAGCTCTACGTACCTTTATATTATTATTTCACAGGACACAAAGTGTCGCCATCTAGTGTGTTATATATTTAATTATATTTGAAAGCCGAGGAAAAGAGATTTTTCGAGAACTATTTTAATAAATTAGGTGTAAAATTACTTACAAATGAAATGTGATGCCATCCATAACATCAGAGCGACTAAGGTCAGGCGGGGCAAGGGCGCCATATTTTTTGCATAGATGATTTCGATGCAAAATATTTTTTTTGAATGCTGACTTATGAGTGAACATTTATTAAATTGTCAATATTTGGAATTTTGTAGCTGCAAGAAACGTCGATTCAATCAAATCAATCAATATTTTTACGATATTTTCTATTAAATTAGAAAACATGGATATAGGCGCACTTGCCCTTAGGAACGGGGAAAGTGCGCCTATATAAAAAAAGACGCTAAAATCGTACGTTACCAGAAAAACAGATAATTTACTGAATAGAACATAAACAAATAAACGCATTACTCTTGGCTTCTTTTTAATTTACTCGTCCTGTAGGCTACTGCAGCTTCCATAACAAATTTAGGGCAAGTGCGCCGTAGACTAGTAATCAGGGGCACTAAACCTTTAATGCTCTTTTTTTTTATAAAAAGTAAAAACTGCTGTATTTAAATAAAAATGTCTGCAGGTTTGGCTGGAATAATAGAGATATTTAATTAATCAAATTAGACTTTTAATTTATGCATTACGTCTATTTATTAAAAAAAAATACAAAAGTAGGTAACAATTTTTCCTTTGACGAAATAGGAAGAAGCAAATACTTAGTAATCTAGTGGATGGCACGCAAGAACTTACATGGTAAAGTAAAAAATATTTCAGTCTTTGTTAGGCTTAAATATTTAAACAACATGACGCATTAAAATCAAGCAAAAATAAAAAACAATAACAAAATATAATCTAATGTCAGTAATCTAAGTACTTAAATACTTAGTAAAATCATGTAAATCTTTGTTAACTTTGGTCCAAATTATAATTATCACCTAAAAGACTTAACAAAAAAATATAAAACAAATATCTCCAAAAATCTTATTATAATAAATAGTAAGAACTTACTGTAAATTAAATTTACCGATATTAATACTGAAGGATATTTGGCCACGACGTGTTATTGTGGGTTTCGGCAAAACTGACACAATATCTGCAACATGTTTCAACTCACATATGTCGTCCACATTAGGATAGACAAAAAGCAAACCTCTTTGTTTTGTTTGAGTTTTTCGTACGTATTTTATCACTGGAATGTCATCATTAATATTAATAATTTGCCCTACATAATGTTTTACACTTTTTTTTGACAAAAACTTGACTAGAACCCAATCACCTTTCTTTAATTTGTTTGATGTATTTTCATAATACTCGATATCGGTGAGTCCAAAATCCGTATATACGTTTTCTTCATCATCTGATTTATATTCTGTTAGGTAAATATTACAGTAACTTTCTAGGTCCATATCTGAACCATCTGAATCATGAATCGTAAAGTCACTGTCTTCTTCTAAATCTTCTTCTATCTTAATTTTATTTTGCTTTTTTTTCGTTTTTATTTTGATGGGATTGTTTTGTTTTTCATATTTAATTTGTTTTGAAGTATGTATTTCATCAGTGCCCTGTAAAGTAAAGTCTGCTGGTCGTTTCATTTTATGTCCTGTAAAAATATCTTTGGTCAGTTTTTCATCAACTTTTAAATATCTGTCTTCTAAAATAGCAATTTTTGTTTTTGAAGTCAGTGGCGGTGGTAATTTTGAGGTGCTTGCATGGCAATTAAGTATTGAAGAATCGTCTTGTAAAAAATGAATTGGGTCACGGACGTTCAAGTCTGAATTAGGTGATATTATTTCAGAAAGAGTTACTTCCGAGCTTGGTGGGTCAGTAACATGCGATTGTTTGTTTTTTGTCAGTCTTATATTTTTACTCTTTTCGTCAATTTTCTTTACTTTTACTTTATCAATTTTCTCATTTTGTTTACTTATTATAATTTTCTTTTTTTGGTCTCGTTGCTCTCGTTGCTTTCGTTTTTCATCTTTTTCTTGTTCTTTTTTGGCTTTATCGTCTTCCTTCTGTTTCAATCTTTCAATGACGTCCTGATGCGTTATCACCTCTGCACTTGCGGAAATTTTTACTATCTTTTTCTTGACATTGGCAGTTTGCGATTGTTTGGTAGATTGTATTAATAAATCTTCAAAAGATATTTTCTCAGAAGATTTTGAACTAACGATTTTTGGCAAAATGGTGACTGGATTCGAGTTTAATTTAATACAAGAGTTAATTTTATTCAGGCATAATTTGGTTAAGGTTAATGGTGAACTACGAGCGAGTGTTTGTTTTTTCGATAAGGTTTCATGGTGTTTTTTCCATCGTTTTAGGGCTTCTGGGTCTAGTTTATATTCCGTTACAGCTTTTCTGTTAAATGGATAAATTCCGCTTTTTTCGAACCCTTTTTTTATAACATTGGAATTAAGATTTTTCCAAACTCTTCCCACTATCGCTGAAAACTGATCCTTAGGTAACTTTTCGCCCTTATGTGTGCGTTGCCATTTAACCATTTCCTGATCCCAAGCGTCTTTATAAGGTTTGAATACGCATAGATCAAGTGGTTGAAGAAGGTGACTTGTGTGTGGTGGCAATTTAATAATGGTGATATTATTTTGTTTCGCCATTTTGACCACAGCCAGTTGCACGTGCGTGCTATGACCATCATAAATTAGGAGGGTTGGCTCTTTCTCATCTTTGACCATGGGAATGAAACTTTTTGCCATAAACTCTGCAAAAACTTCGGATTCAATCCAACCATTGGATGTCGCACTGTATAAAGTGCCAGGATATGCTTCCTCAGATGTCCATCCACTCCACACATGCTTACCTTTGAAAATTATAAATGGAGGCCCTTTGCCTCCAGCTGCATTGCTGGCAACCAAGACGGTTGTGTTTACTTTACCAGCTGATGATGTTATTCTAGTTGAAGGATATCCCTTTAAGCCGACCACTTTGGTTTTTTGAGGGTCGCTGCAGTAGCTTGTTTCGTCAATATTATATATTCTCTCTGGCTTATTTTCAAGCCCTAGCTCTTTAATAACTTTTTCGACAATGTCGTAAAATTCTTGTATAATGAAAGGGTCAGCCGCTTTTTTACGGGCTATCTCAACTGCTTGAGGTTTTTTTATTGACAACCTATGTCGTTTCATAAAATTAGAAAACCAATCGTTTCCAGGGATGCCATTGGTAAATGGTGTATTTATGTTATTTTTTTTAACGTACTCGCCAACCAGTTCTATTACCTCTTTCCGACTTAACCCAAAGCCATGCCTTTCCATAATATGTAGACAGTTAGCTAACTCTATTTCAATTTCAGCTGACAAGGCTGGTGGTCTACCTTGTGTTGATGATTTTTGGCCCCTTCGACCCGTCACGTGGTCCATGATTGTTTTACGAGGTATATCATAAGTTTTCGCTGCTTCATATCCGGATAGGCCTGATCTGACAGCGTCAATTGCCTGACATAAAGTTTCTCTAGACCAAGAAGGCTTATCGGTTTTTCTTTGATAAGTACGAACCATCTGTAAAAAGACAATAATTTTAGAACCAGTTGTAGTAAGTATCCAACTGCTCCTTGTTGTCGAGAGATCTGTGGGCAACCTAGTGTGAGAGTTGTTCAGAAAATCCAAAGGTCTCTAACATGGCTTAAAGACTGACGTTGAATGATAACAGCCGGAGTGATAGTTTACCAGCCACCCATCCAAAGTAGCTTGACTTCGAATATCGCTTCCGATTAAGGAGCTTAGGCACACCTAAGGGCGCATAAAGTAACGAACAAAGGAAACTACAAGTACGTTGGTTTTACTGTTTGCACTAACGTTCAACGAGTTATATAATTATAGCGTCTCAAAAGCAAATCCCAAGAAAATACAAATAAAATTACTTATTTAAAAATAGTTTATAGACTTAATACGAGGCTTTTACTGTAAACCCATCACCCAACGCCTTTTTCAGATTCAGAGGCCGTCGGGTAAGAAAATATCTGAATCATGAAAGTTTACGACTTCTGGCTCGGGGGAAGTGCGCCATACTACTAAGAACTTAGGCGCACTTGCCTCACTTAACTATTTTGAGCTTAAGATTTTAAATTCTATAAAAAATTATTAATTTCACTATCTAGGGCGAAAATACAGACATAGATTTAAAGAAAAACAATTAAATTCTGTACTCACCTCATTGGTTTGCGGCAATACGTAAAATATTTTAAGATCTAAGGGGATTAGTAACACGTGCTCGTCTCTGGTAACAGGTTTAAATGACACTAAAACCGAAATGGCGGATACATCAAGTTATGGTGAACTGAGGCATCTGTGATTGTGAAGTGGAACTGTGTTTTAGTTTGTTGCATGGATGTAAGATGTCGTTAGTTGTATTATATCTGTAGTTTTCGATATTTTTATGGTAGGCGCGCTTACCCCGTCGGCGCGCTTGCCCCGCCTGACCTTATCTGCGTAGTTTTTACACGATAAAACACAACACTTCATCCTTTTCTTCTTAATACTACGAAAATACATCGATTTGCGATTTTTGCAACACATGAGCGCACAGGACGAATGCTGACAGTATACTAACTAAAGCCACGCCCACTATGATGACGTCAGGACCTACTTAGAATCACAGTGCACAGTTGCTTATGCCGTCTCCCCTTTGTATTAGCTTCATGGTCGCACCTATACTTCGTCGATATATTTATCACGAAGACGTTATAAACTTTTTTATTCCAAAGGCAGAGTCGTGGCGTTTATGTAGTGTTTCATTATTTTGCAACAGGTGGCGGTATTATTATTCTTCTAATAAGTGAATTACAGTCTTTATTAAGTTTTATGTTGAAAAATACCACTAAGCATATTTATTAATTATTCGAACCGAGCAATCAATCTGTGTCAATCAATATTTCTGCCATCAAGTGACACCTGTAAAAACTATTTATACGTTATCAATTAGCTACATTGAATAATAATGGCAAATAAGTGTGGGCACTGTGGTAAATTTATTTCGCAGACAGATGGCGTTATATGCTCAAAATGTACGTCGATTTACCATAGGCCGTGTGTTAATATTAGCCCCGAATCAATGATAAGCCCAAAATGGATTTGTAAAACCTGCAAAATACCGCGCCAAAGCCCTGTGCTAGCCGACTATTGTATTGAGGCATCCGTAGACTCAAGAGTTGAATGCCACATTGAAGGTTTATTGGCTAAGGAAATTAAACTCCTTAGAACTGAGTTGAAGACTCTGTCAGAAGAAATGGTCAGTTTCCGGCAAGAAATTGCGAAACTAAACACCTCCATGACACAGTTTAATTCGAGACTGGACAGCGTTGAAACCCGAGTTACCTCCCTGGAACAACAAACGAAGGAGGGTCACAAGTCATGCAATAATAACGGACTGGTAGATATTATTGCGCGCTTAAAGCGCGATTTGAATATAAAGGAACAGGCGGCTCTTTCTAATGATTTAGAGGTCACCGGTATTCCTGAACAGAAGGGAGAAAGCCCGGGTCACCTCATGACACTCGTCGCCAAAAATTGGATGTAGAACTGGACGAGCGTGACGTGGTTAGTGTTGAACGTGCCGGTATGCGTCGAAACCGTGAGAGCTCGGATAGCGAACCACCGCGGCCTAGAGTCATCGTCGTACGTTTGGCGCGGCGCTCTGTCCGCGACCAACTGTTGCGGGCGGCGCGCGTGCGTCGGGGCGCTGATACATCAGGTTTTAATATCAATGGAGAACCGACTCGCTTTTATCTTAACGAGCGCCTGACGTATGCCAACAAGCACCTTTTCCATAGGGCTCGACAGGAGGCACGGCGATGCAACTGGCGATATGCATGGACAAAAAACGGTGTAATATTTGTGAAGCGCGATTCTATGTCTAATAAGCAAAAAATATGTATGGACTGTGACATTGAAAAGGTTTTTGGTTCTTCATGAATTTGATCTTTTTTATAAAACATACTTTAAATCTTATCACTATGGGCATTTATCTTTCATATTTTGTTTTTATTTTAGGTTTGAGAGTTAGGATAATAGGCTTTGCTGTGCTGTGCAATGTTCTTGTCGTATTTTGTTCAGTTTATTTATGTATGTCTTATATATATTTGGATATTTTCGTAACAATTAAGCGACCGTTTACCTTTAATGATTTTCTGAGCTTATACGAAGGTAACTGTGAACTAAATAGTATTATTTTTCTTGCTTTTAATTTATTTGTTAATAGTTCCTATTGTCCTGCTATTCTTAATGAAATTGTATATTATTCTTTGTATAATATGCCTGCAATAACAAATTTAGATCAATTATTTCAATACAAAACCGTTCGGGTTCATGTTATCACTGTCAAAATGTTCATACCAGCATCAAAGTTACATAATATAATACAGCTAGGTATATTATATACATTTTTGTGCAAGTTTAGTATTAACTGCGTCTCATATTATTATTATTTGTATTATTGTTGCATAGCACTAATTATATCTATAATGTTATGTATTTATAATTTAATATCTCAATATGTATCTACATTGTATGATAAATACTTAGTTAATTTAAACCTTAATCAAAGATATCTTACTTATCTTATTGTACATAATGGTTAGGCCGCAGAAATTAGAAGTTGGTTTTTTAAATACCGGATCACTAGGTACGCATCATGATGAGTTCGTGGTAGCTATGGATCGTCAGAGAGTTGATGTGTTGGCTTTGAGTGAAACCTGGCTCAGGGCAGGTGAAGAAGGAAGGGCACCTCGTGTGCCTGGTTACCACCTGCGACATACTCCTAGGCCGGCAGAAGTTCGTTCTCGCGGTGGCGGTGTAGGTTTCTACATAAGACGTGGTTTACCAGTACGTAATCTACCCTACCCTATATCGCAGTCTATAGAACAAATGTGGCTAAGTGCCAAAATCAATGGTAAAATTGTCATAATTGGCACTGCGTATCGACCACCTTTGCTTCAAGTGCAAAATTTATTTCATGGTCTTTCAGATACAATAAACACGTTCTCGTCGTATGATTATTTACTACTTCATGGCGATTTTAACATCAACTACTTAGATAAATCCAACCGTAATACTAAAATATTAGATGAATTCATTTTAATAAATAATCTTAAACAATATGTTAACGAACCCACACATTTCACAAGTAACAGCAAAACATTGTTGGATTTAATACTTTCTAACGTATCCCTAAACAAAGTAGAAGTGGATTACATATCTGATTTGAGCCATCATGCGTTTATATCATGCGAAGTCAATCTTACTACGCACAAATGTCCACCGAGACTTGTTTCTTATAGACCAATTAAAAATATAAATCCTGAACAATTTCATCGACTTTTAAGTGGTATAAATTGGGAAAACATCGTGAATGTGCAAGATGTTAATGTTATGGTTGCTGAATTTAATTCAACCATATTATCTATATATAACCTGTTAGTTCCGATCAAAAAAGCCTATATTAAGGAACAATATCGTTCCTGGTTAACATATACAGTCAAATTAATGATGCGACTCCGTGATCGAGCACATTCAAGGGCACGATTAACAAAAATAGATTCACATGTAAATTATTATAAACAATTAAAAAAACAGGTCGTGACTGCTATTTATAACGAAAAGACCGCTTATTTTAACACGTACATTAATTGTAATATTAGAAACTCCAAAACGTTATGGGAGCACTTACATCGTCAAATAAATATAAAAAATAAACATGATACTTGTCTACCCTACAATTTGTGTGACCCAAAAAAGATTAATAAACATTTCCTTGACGTTCCAGGCCAAAATTTTGCTTCTCAATCCGCTATCAACTACTTCGAAACCCATAAATTTAGCTCTAAAACTTTTGAATTTAATGCAATAGATAGTAATACAGTTTTAAAAATTCTACATGATCTGAAGTCGAATGCTATTGAGTTGGATGAAATTTCACTGGAAATGCTGTTATCCACTCTCCCATAGTCTTTGAATATTATTACGGTAATTATGAATAGTTCTCTGAGAGATAAGACATTTCCCAAACAGTGGCAAACTGCTTTAATAAAGCCGATTCCTAAGACAGATAATATTACGAATTTTAAAGACCTGCGACCTATTAGCCTATTGCCCTGTTTGTCTAAAATCCTAGAGAAAGCTGTATGTAATCAGTTAACTCATTATTTAGATGAAAATGAAATTCTACCGAGTGTACAGTCTGGCTTTAGGAAACGACATAGCACTACAACAGCTTTGGCCGATGTAGTGGATAATGTTTTAAGTGCTCGGGATTCCGGTATGGTTACAATTCTAGTTCTTCTTGACTATTCCCGTGCATTTGACACGTTAAATAGGCAGTTGTTTTTCTCTAAATTAAACTGCTATGGATTAAGCTCGGAAACTATAGATTGGTTTCGTAGCTATTTTAATGACCGTAGGCAAATTGTCGAAGTAACAGATGAAAACGGCAAAAAAATAGCATCTGATTGCTGTGCTGTTACAAGAGGTGTTCCGCAGGGCTCAATACTTGGTCCCTTGATTTT